AGAGTTCCTTACCTCTACTCCACAACATTTTGCTTGCAAATCACATCTCAAATGGCTGTTTTCTTAATTTGGAGATAGCATTCTTGTCTGTTGATATGAAAGATTATATTCTTTCATACCAACAAGCTGTTTAATTATAACTTTTCACATCATCATCAGTACCTGTGTCTTTGAGTTCTTAATGCTTTCCACAAAACATTAAGCACATTATTTTGATTTTAATTGATTCAAATGGCACTTCATTCTAAAGCATCCATTTTCTACTAATTATTTTCTTTAAAATTTTACTTATGCCCCAATGTTTAACAGCTCTCATCCCTTTCACTGATGTAGGCTTGTGTTGTTGCACAAACCACAACATATCAAAGTATCCATGCAGGCCAGGGAGCTGAAAGCAGCAGAAATTCTGAAAAAAATTGGGTTTAGGTTAAACACATCTTGATTTCTGTTTTTGTCTCTTACTATGTTCTGGGCCCTGTTCAAAATCTTATTACATATATTCTGTAGTAATGATGAGGACAAGTGAAGACTCACAAAAATTTTCTTCTGTTATTACATAGCTACCACCCTCATTAAAATAGTCTAGGATACATAGCTGAAGAAAGCAAAACCCTATTTTCTGGTACGAAAGAGTAAACCCATCAGCTCCCTCCATATATAAAAAGCAGCTAAGATTTAATAGTTTGTCTAAAAGCCTTTGATAGTTTTCCACCAAGAAAATTAAGATTTGCTCTTCACTTCAAACAAAGCTCCAATACCTTCTCAAACAAAGCACCACTGTCCTTGCCCACTATGCTTAGTTTTCCTTCTATTTTTTTTCCATATGTTTCCCATAAAAGTCAGTACCAACTTTCAACAGCTTCAGCCTGGTACTTTTACTTTTCTCTTAAACGACTATTATTGATACAGTTTTCCCAGCTCTTGCAATACAAACAACTTACCTTGGGCAGATGTATTTCTACAATTAAGTTTAGTAGAGACTACAGCTACATGACAAGCCTCATTGTCCCCAGACACTAAGTCTCTTCCCCTCAATACCCCTGCAGTACATCCTTGTTCAAGTGTCCAGGGCCCATCTTTGCTTCTGTGGGAATTCAAAGCCAACAAGAAGCCAAGTACCAGAAAGATGAATGGACAAAGAGATAGATGGATCATCCTTAGAACCAGACCATGAGCTTAAAAATCTTAGGTTAAGTCCTATCTCGGTATCAACAAGCACACCATTGTAAAAACCAACTATAAAGAATGCAATATTTTTAAACTACAAACCATTTGGGGTTTAGCCCATTATGAAATATTTGAGGGGTAATGTGACCAGCTCTGTAGTAAGGAAGAAAATTCAATACTGGCACACATCTCCTTTGGCTAAAATTTGTCACTTAAGCATTACAGAAACAAAGTTTTGGAAGGGCAGGTACCTTGGCTAGTTGTTGTGTGTCAATACAGACAAAGTCTGTCTAGATTCATAAACCATGACAAAGTCTAGTTCTCCTCATTTAAAAAAAACACAACACAAACTCCACACAATTCAAGATCCACACTTCAACTCCCACATCCCCTTCTTCACCTCCTGCAAGAAAAGGACCTGCTATCAATTACAATCCAAAAGCAAGTTGGCTTTGCACAGATTACAAAATCTCTCTTTGCAGTTCTCATTTTATGAAGTGGAAAGTGTCTGCCTGTATTACATGTATGTTTGCAGAGACACATATTTACCTCTGCTTCTTAACCTGCTGTTATTGCTAAATTTCCCTTAGATGATAAGTACCTTAAAAATTAAAGTACTTGATAACTCCATGTAGCTGGGCATTATAAAAACAGCTCTTTCTTTCAACTGCTGAAAAGCTTATGTCACAACTCCCTTATAACAGCAGAGAAAGTAGCCCTTCCGTGAAAGAAGGCTTTCTGAACATCTGAGATTAAATTATTTTGAAATTTATCATTGTTTCTCCAACCATTCCTACTCTAAAAATCAAGTAGTGGGTAAGGAGACTGTATAACCCTCTCCACACAGTGTCTTGTGTAAACAGGTTCCACGTTGGAGTGAAAGGTTTCCCTTAGGATTCTCTTCAGTTTGCTCCCCCACCTTTTGGCAGCATGACAGATAGGAAAATTGAGATCAGCCTGAAGCAACCAAGAATTTCTTTCATCAGAGTCAACAATCCATTTTCAAAGTTCAGTGTACTTCTGCAGTTTCTACCTGGGATTTCTATGCACCACATAGAACATTTTGGCATTTCTTTGGGACACAAGAGAAAAAACTGTTATCATTAACTAACCTCCGGCTTGCAAGGAATATTCAGGAACAACATTGAAAGTTCAAAACCTGCTATAACAAGCAGCACGCAAGTTAGCAGTTAGGATATCCTGGGACTCCTTTCTCTTTACAGCAGAAAAAAAAGTGGTTTATCAATATCCCTTCTAATATATGCTTTAGAAAAAGACAAGAGCATCTGTATTCACAATGCACTCTCAGAAAAAGAGGTCTACATATGAAGAAACAGAAGCAAAAACAATGATCAGCCTCTGCTACGTTAACCCTGACAATATCTAGTCTACAAGAAGGCGGACTCTGTACTTAAAAGTGACATCTTCCTGGAATTGCTAGGATTGCTGGCTAACAAAGGCTGGCTTTACTTTTAACAAAAAGCAGTCTCTTCCAAACGAAGTCACTTGAAAAGGTGACAGAGGAAGCAAATATCTTGTCTGAATGTGAGTCTCGCAGGTCACCTCTCTCACAAACGGTGGAAGGGGAAGCCTCAGTAAACAGTATGGAGGTGAGGGAAACACAACGCCAAGAAAATGAAGTTCAATACTTGTGTAAAAAACCTGAGTAAATCTATATTACAAGACAAAGTGCTTTACATATCAAGCTGACAGCTTGTTTTGGAAAACCTGTTGCTGTAGGACTAAGTCAGGAATTTCAACAACACCTGGTCACCTCTGAACTCCATGAGGAATGAGACTTGCTTTTGCTGGACAACTATAAGAACCAAGTTTAAACTTCACATCACTGAACAAGGAAGAAATAGTGAAAACATCTGTGCCTTAAAATCAGTATTAAAAGATTCTCTAGTTTCAAACACCATCTTAATATTTCCCTATCCATATAAAGATGTATTATCTCCTGTAACTAAAAGCTGGTGAATCTATCGTTTAGTCCCTGTCAACTCCTCTTACATTTCTCTATTCCACTTCAGGAGCATTAACATTAAAGTTAGGAGCACAACAGAATTTATTAAAAATACAGCTTTACTTTTTAACAATGCATATTAGGACCAAAAGCATTTTTTGCTCAGCTTACACTCCAATCCTAAACCATTTCAACTTAATAGTTATTTTTTCTAGCAGTTAAAAAGCTTTACAACTACCAGCATCATGACTGTTCAGAAACACAAACTTCATAAATCCTCTGTCAGCTTCATAATTAAAATTTGAAAAATGGTACGATCATACAGCTTTGTCTGCTAGCTTCAAAGTTTCACTTTATGCTTTTGCCAATTTTATACTGAGGAAAATAGCTAAGATGAAAAAATAAGGTAATTAAATGATTGCTCTACAGTACAGCAGTGCCATATTAACCATTACTAGATAACATCTGCTCAGTTAAGTCAAATATTACGGTGGTAAGCAGTTTGACTTAAAGTTTACTACTTCAGTCTTATTTTCTGTACTCCCAACATTAGTCTCTTCCCTCTGTAGATCAACCTGAATGATTATTATTTAAGATGGACATTTTTGCTATTTCATAGTCACTTACCCAGACTGCATAATTTTAAGGGCATTTTGGCTATTTAAAGAGCGAGTCACACTGAAAAGTTATTCTTAAGAGTTACAATAAAATGTACGTAATATTAATTTCTGAAAGCAATGAATGTACTATACTTTGTGATTGCCTCATGTCTCATATATAGGAGACTTCATTAAAATAAGAAGTTAACACACTGTGCTTTTAATCAGTTTGGTATAATCTTCTCTAAGGTATCTAGGAAAGAGAGTGCTGGATTGTCTCAGCGTTACTGATGTGTACGACTTGCCTGAGCATTATTTGTACTGATACAGCACCAGATTTATTCTAAGTTGCCCAAAAATCACCTATATTTTCTTAGATGTTGGTCATGCTACACACTCCAAGATTAATATGACATTAATTTAATGTCAACTGAAATATTTGCTTTTACTTGTAGAACCACGACCATGTATGATCTCTAGCTAGCTGAGGTTCAGTGTTGGCACTCCCTAAAACCAGCCCAAGTATTGCTATTTGCAATAAAGTTACTGCAGCAAAACAAAGTTGCTGAACAAGAGCTGAAAAGCAGCACGCATATAACCAGTATCCTTCACTCCACACCAAAAACCAACTAATGCAGCTTAACTATCTCTGCAGTAAGCTAGTTTAAGTTATGTTGCATTTGCCACAGGCTAGAACATAAGCTATTGCCACAGCTCAACTAGCATATATTTCTATTATGCATTTCCAAAAACTCGATTCATTTTAGGAAACATAATATTTCATAGTTAGCCCACCTTAGTCTGTTAGTTGCAAACATAACTGGAATGATAGCCTTCTATTTTCATGCATGACAGTCATGGTAAAAAGCACGAGTTCTAATTAGAGCAGATCATATTTCATAGAACTGACAACTTGAACAGTGGTGGACTTGAAAAACTTCCCACCTCCTTAAAGTTAGAATAGGGCTGAGAACAGAGCTATAAACCATATTGTTATTTTCTGGGTAAGCGTATTTGAGTGTTACATTCCAGGAGAATATTTCATCCTATTTAATGATGATATTCCTGTCTTCTTACTTGATACTTCTTCCAATGTGACAGTCTTTGTAATTGTTTTGAGACTGTTACACAGCAGCCATGAGTTCTTCCCCATAAAGGAAGCATTAGAACCAAGCGTCCAAAAGCAGCTTCTCACAGAAGTGACTCCCATATTAATTTGCAGCACTTAAATTATAAAAAATGCTAGCTATTAAAAGACTTAAGTTATTTACAAATAACTCCACTGTCTCAAACTATTTCAAAGTTTCCAGTTAACTAGCTCATTAAGTAGTCACTTAATTAGAACTCACTAGTTTCCCACAGTGGCCTGCAGTGTAGTTATGTCAGTCTGACTGAAAAACCATCCTTTGTTCTGAAGATGCAGATAACTATGAAATATAAATTGTGGCAGATGTGGCTTCAAACATCATGTACCTTCGGTTTTAGTCTTAAGTATTGGGATGAGAATGAAAACTTAAGTGCTCATATTTAGTTTTAAGTTCTTATGAAGAAGTCATCTATGTCTGTACCCTATAAACTGGCCAATATGCACTCTGACACTAATTCACATTGTAGAGTAACTAATGTCAAGAACTTACTGAAGAGCAGCAACACCATACAACAGAATTAAGTTTTGACTTTCATGTCTGTATTATTTTCCTTAAAAAATGATAATATCTTAGCACTTATTGATCAAGCTATGTATTAGCTAATCCATTATGGAAATCTAGATAGCTTTCTCACACTTGTACAGCACGATTCACATATACCTTAATTCATGCTGTTCTTTCACACAGAAGGTGTCATAGTAAAACATTAATTACATTGTGTTAATAGATACGATGATGTTTAGCAGTGGTGCTGAACAGACACACGAATTTGCCATGTTATACTAAGTAGATCAGCAAGAGTTCTGCATGAGATACTTAACTTTATGATTACTGGATATCTGCAGCCCGAGAAAAGGAGACAACGAGAAACTGGAGTACAATGCACACATTCAGAACATAACCCTAACTTCCTTCAAGCAGAGCATCTTTGACTTTTCTAAATGCAGTTGTTCCCCTTCCACTAGCATCTGTTTTTTCAATCTATTACAGACACGGTACTGTTTATTGCAGTCAATATGTCTTGCCAAAACACAAGGCTAACACTGGACAAACACAAAGTTCACCTACCAAAATAAAGAAATAATCTCAGGAACACTATGAGAACTACCTCAATCTTAAGAATTTCCACTGTATGTCACTGTTACTGAAGAGTCAGTTTAATCCCAAGTTTTACTGTAGCTCTCAAATCCATACTTTCAATAGGTTTTCACACAGTTAAAAAGATTAAATACTTTATGCATCAGCTGGCTCTTCAGCTTGCTATTTCAACCACTGACCAAAAAAGTCTAAGTTAACATATTGTCTTTGCTGAGAAGACAGACTTACCTAATATGTAGATAGTCTTCTGATCACTTCTCTGACCAAGGGAATTAGTCACCTTACAGATGTAAGTCCCAGTGTAGTTGTAAGTCAATGGGCTGCTGAACTGCAGAGTATTGTTGACCGACAGCAATCCTTCGGGCCATTGTCCATCCAACCTAAACCAAAAGAATTAGTTACATTTCAACTGTGAACCTTTAAGACTAAAGTCTAAATATAACTAGTTTAAAATAATATTTACAACATTCTAGAGTGTGAACTTTTCACTGTGCTCTGACATCCTCAGTGTGCTTTCACTGCATATGCTCAGTGTCCACGTGAACATTTAGCATTTTAATTTCTGTACCAAGTCCTTTAAATGTCAAGTCTGCTGGCACTAGCAAGCTGTCTACAAATGAACACTACGACAACTAAGAAAACATTATCTCAAAATAACTTAAGAGGAACAATCCAACTCAAGCTCTAAAAACTAACGGTCAAACTAAGATGCACTTACACTACTGTCAGGATTATCTGCCTGTTCTTTTTGACCCCATTGAGCTACCACAATAAATATTTCTGTCAGCACACACTTAACTTACATGACATTTTGATTAGGATTTCTGAGCAAGATTCAAGCAGTTTCTCCCCTCTCAACCTGCCTTTTCTCATCCCCTGTCACTTTTCCATCTAAATTACTGCACTGAAACTGAATTTGGTGCTTGCCAATACATTTGGAGAAATAACTGGTTAAAAAAATTGTTTTCAATCAACTAGCTTTTCCAAAATTATCATTTCCCTGTAGCATTCTGCATGTGATTGCAGTAACAACTGTGTAAACACAACAGAGAAAGGGCAGAGACACTGGACTATTTTAACAGACCTGCCAACTGCCCATTAAACACCCATGTAATTTCATGCCATTGCATCCCAATTTGCTTTTATCTAACTATCTATTAACAGCTGAGCAGGACTAAGTCAATATTCAAACATATGATCATCAGGTCTCAGTATCTGGGAAGCATTTAGCAAGTACGATTTTCCAAGTAGTATCGAACAACGCCACCCCTGACATTTTAAAATAGGTACTCAAATGGAAAAAACCCGCAGTTAACAATAAACGTCATCTCCAACAAATGTAGGTTCAAGACAACTTTCCCATTGCTTTGCTGAAAATTATTGCCCAGAATTGCTTCAGCTGTATAAAGTTGGTAAAAGTAATTAAGTGTGTACTTCATAATTCATAGTACCAGAAGTATTTCAAAAGCCATTATAAAATAGTCAATTGGTTTGAAAGCTCTATTCTAATAAAGTTCTCACATGTGCAACACTTTAAAATACTATTGACCATGAAAATACTACTGTCCTAGCAAATACAGTGTCACCTTTGCTTCCAAGGGATAAAACTATTTTGGTGCGGTAGTTCTAGAAGTTATTATAATTTGAAACCAGGAAGATAGCACGCAGTTTCAATACAGCTAGTTTCCATTTCCTTAAACACTCAAGCTATCCTTCTTTTGCATAGAATTTTTTTCCCCCCTTGAATTTTCTCATTTACCAGTATTACAGCTTCTTGAATGAGTTTTATTGTGGCTCAGGCAAAAAGGTACATTAGTTTTATTCCAGAAAATTAAGCTTTTCTTTTAAAAGTTGGTTCAGTTTTAGCCTTAAGAAGTTTAAAAGTGACCTCTGAAGCTTGAAGTACTTTAAAGCGTTGTATATATTTCTTCTGGAATAGGAAATAGAGGTTGTATTGATTAGTTCTTACATACATCTCAAATTCAAATCAGACATCTGAGAACCCAGTTCTTCTAAGAGACAAGTTGTACTGCTGTTGAGAGTCCAGCAATCTTTTTTTTAAAAATAGGAATTTTTGTGTTGAAATCTCTCATCACACTGAATTTGAGCTAAGCATGGAATGGGGATGGCAGCCTACTATAGCACATAGGTAAAGCAAACATTTTACTAAGGCATGCTTTTTACTAAACCTCCTTTAGTGTAGCCATGCCATTCTGACTAGAGTTAGCCGCAATAATGACTAAGATTTCAATGGCTACTTTTATGATTGTGTCAGTTATAGTAAAGTTGGTTTCTTGTGAAACTGCCATCAAGCAATTCCAAAATTATCAATACAATGTTTTCAAACAACAATACAACTACTATTCCTATACACTAGATTATATCTACCATTGAGAAGGTAGGGAAATGGATTACAGCTTCACATCAGTAAATATTCCTGTGATTTTACCAACAGCAGTGTAACAAAGCTACATAAATTTACACTGTCCTTAGGAAAATCATTTCCTTTGTCTCTACAGGCAACAAATCAATTTAAAATAGCTGGGTTTATTTTTTTTGTTCTATACAGGACAGATTTTGATCTATGCTTGATTTTGTCGTCTTCCTCTGTCTCTTGCCCAAAGTACATCCATGGCTGCAAAAGCAAAGCAGTAAATTTCAGAGTAGGGGCCACCCAATCCATATATTCATGAAATGCAGCTGTTATGAATTTTTTTTTTTTTTTACTAGAGACATATGCTCAAGACCTCGTTTCCATCACTACCCAAAACACTGCATTTATCTGTCTTGGCAACTACTTGAGCACTTCTGAAAAACATAACAAATTCTGTAATTCAGTAAGCAGTATTTGCCATCTCAACTGTAATTTCCAGATTTTAAAACGCAGATATTAAGAAGTCTGTTCAAGTGTTTACAATTTAATTTTAAGTAATAATAAAACAGAACTTATGAAATAATAGTTGGATCATTACTAGATTTATTGGGCTTTGCTCTATATACTGCAACATGCAGAGTTTAGTTTACTTTATTAAGTAACTACAAAAGATTGTATCCTGAGAGTAATGACAAACTGTTCAGGTTTGTAAATTTACAAAATATCCACTCACCCATATTCATACATACACATACCTTGTATCCTCCTTTTAAAAGGCTGGATAATACCATTACAACCCAATAGAAGTCATACACTCCTTGGTTTTGAAGCAGATGTTTACTGTAAGCTAAGAGATTATATTGCCTTAATCATGTGGCAAGCCCCTTTTTTTAAATAGTTACCTGGTCCACATAAATTCCATAGGTAATGGATTTGCATCAGCATTACACCTGAGCTGAACGTTCTCTCTTCCAATGAACCAGTTTCCATCATAGCCAGTTACTGAAACTTCTGGGGCATCTGACAAAAAAAAAGATTTAACCTATCAACAATCACAATATTTTCTTTAAACACTTAACTGTGTGAAATGGTCAGCTCAGTGAAGCAGGTGGTGGTTTTCAGTTTGGTTATGGTTTTTCTTTTTTTAATTTATAAACCACCACCACACACGGAAAACACTGATACAGTTCCAAGCTACAGCATAATATGGCAGCAGTGGATTAGATCAGAAACAGTAAGTTGTTTTAATAGGTATAACTGTCCCACTGTGTGTTTTCAGCAAACATACAGCACTTCGGCAAGGTGAAAGGACTTCACAATAAAACAATGAGTTTAATGTTTTTTTTGGAAATGAGGAATTGTAACTTAGAGCGAGTTCTCACTAACAAGATACAGCAAAGGATCAGAAACTGTTTGAGAGGTAATTAGGAAATGATCAAAAAGTTCACAGATGCCAGTTAAAAAGGTTAACAGTTATCTACTGGCATCATAATGTAGAATTATGTTGTTAGTGCTCTAAAAAGCTAGGAGGCTACTGTAGATAAGCCAGAAAGACCTAGCTGAAACATTCAGAACCCAGAGAACTGAAGAGCCAGTATGATTTGGTATAAGCTCCTACAGCAGATATGGAGTTGCTGCAAAAGCTGTAAGCACAAGAAAAGACTGAAGAAATAGAGAGAGACAAAATCCTTGCTTCTCACTTGCTGCTGTGTTGCTTACTATACAATTTTACTAGAAGTTCTGAAAAATGCCTTAGCGCTAATTTCAGATTAAAAAAAGTTAAGACCAGCTTTCCCCCTCATTTCACTTTAAATACAGAATTTCATTCTCATATTCACCATTTTGAGGCAATAATGGGAACAAATAATCGTTACTTCCATTGCTGTATCAACGGCACTTCAATCTAGAACTTCATTTCAACATTGACAAAATAAAACAGTACAAATCACTATTTTATGCCCAAATGTGATTCTTTAGGAAACAGAACAAAAACAAACCCACAAGAGATTCTAGTCAAACCAAAACAGCAAAGTTTTCTTTTTCCAGCCACTACATTTCTTCTAATTGAGTTGACAATCTTCTGTGATTGAGGAACTTTAAAGCAGTACACAGCTGAGACAGCATGCCAAAGGAAGAACTTGAAAATAGCTCAGTTTGCTCATGTCTGCATTGTCTAACAAAAAATGGCTCACATGCCTAAAGGTTATTTGTCTTAACTGGTTTTCTCTAAGCAGCATTGTAAGCCATCTCACTTGGAATTCATGTATTTTAAAGGCTCAAATTTGTTAAACAAGCCTGGTACAGGTTTGAATTACATGTGCAACCTGAAGCTGAATAACAAATGTTAGGAATGTATATGTTACGTTCTTGTTTCCTTATGCAAATTAGAGTGGAAAAAGCTTAGTGATTAATTTGAAAATAACTTACTGACCCCCATAAGACCTACTTTCAACTTGTCATCTCAAACATAAATCTTCATTAGAATTTTTTTAGTACTGCTGAAATTATAAGGCACTATAAACAGTTTACGGATCAACTGAGTTTGTTATTTTGTCTGTAATCTTTTCAATGTTAAATATAAACATGGATAATAATGTTTACCCATGAGCCAATATCCAAAACAAACAGTAGAAACATAATGGTATTCTAGCTTTGTGAGTAGATTTTTATTTTTTTAATACAGAGACCCTAGGTTTCTACTCCTGCCTGACCACCTTTTATCAGATGCTCTTCTATATAGTTTTAATTTCCCTTTTTTTCCTGAACCAGTAAGTGCTCACCTCCTTCTTGTGGAAGGTATACACTGATAAAGAGGGTGGTTTTAACATATATACACCAAGTAGTAACTACCTTACAAAATACTTACACTGTATGTCCAATACATGAGCATATCTTATCTCCTTTTCCAAAGCAGGGTGCCTCACAATGCAAGTTATACGTCTTCCTCTTGCAAATCGCGTAGGGACAATCATATACTGACTTACAACTGTCACTGTTTCATTTGGAAACAAAGTAGAGCTGGATTCCATTTCACCAAGACCTCCTTCCCAGTCAATCTCTGCAGCAGGTTTGCCAGTGGCTGCTGTACAAGTGGCTGCTATTGTCCGATTTGAACCATCTATTAGAGGGTTTGGTCCTTTTGTTAAGCTCACAACAGGTTCAACTAGGGAAGGGAAAAAGAAGTAAATTTAAACAGGACAGACTCCACATCTTTGAAACTGTTGCTATGTAGAAGAGTTAGACAAGATCTAATCCATTTGCAAAGCCCATGCTAATCAGATATCCTAGAAATAAGATCATGTCATGTATCAGAGATGATAGCTCTACAGAGCTTCGGCCTGCTGATACCGTTGAACTTTAATGAGTGGACAAAGGTGAATGTTGCTCATTCACTATGTTTAATGCATTCACAGGGAATTCCAAAGCGGTTAGGTTCAAAACACGACCTGCAGAGCTATAGTTACAGTGCCTGACAGCCTGACAACAAACAGCTTAAGATATTAGGGTGAAATTGTACCGTGATTTTTAAGAAAGGCTTGGATTCTGCTGCACTTTCAAGCATTGCACTTAAAGTATTAATCTATACTGTCAGTTTGTGTCATTTGAAAGCTACTTAATTCAGTGTTTTAACACCTGATATCAAGAGTTTAAGATCCTGTTGATCAGTACAACATATAAATTGATTCCACGCTGAAAAGAACAGTTAACCTCTGAAAAAGTATTTTTGTTACATATACACATATTATATAAAAAACTAATATGTGCACACAACTATACATATTTTTTATACAAAATTTGTATTTTTTCAAGACACAAATGAATTGTTTCTCTATATAAATAAAATTCTGTCTATATATAGATGGCCATCACCTACAGAAGTAAAAAACTTGAACTCAATACTATGTCCAAGACTCATGAAATCTGATAGTAGAAGGAGCTGACCTTCTTGTAAACTCATTTGCTCACTCCCAAGATTTTAGAGCCTTAGAAAACACACCACCTTCTAAAAGGGAGTTCCTAATGTACTCATCTACTGTTGAGGACCATAGATTGAAAAGCTTTTAAAAAATATCCTTCTTATTTAAGAAGTCTGTTTCAGCCCTGTACAAGCCATCCACAAGTTGCACCCTAAGTCAGAAATACCATCTGGTGCTTCAGATACAAACCAAGGTTTTGCTTTCTAGGATGGCCCGTTTCTATCATCAATACGAGAAAATACACGTTTCCCTTGTAGCATACCAGCCTATTACACAATCCTTGTCTTTTGATCTAAATCAAGCTATCAGAGTCCTCTAAGTCAAATCATCACTACATACGATAAGGCTTCAGAATCCACCACAGTGGACCAGCCCTCACTAATCAAAGCAGAGACAACTCTTGCAACTTCCATTCCTTTCAGTATCCTACAAGAAGCTTAGTTCACAGAATTTCTTTCCAAGAATTGAAGCTGACCCATATATCATAAAATTTACATTTAGTGTCTTACAAACATAAAGATAATAAATTTTGCTGTATCCTCCCCCCTACCCTGCATTGGCATCTCACCTCTCACAATGAGAAACAGTTTTACTGGTTTTCAACTTGGAAAAAAGATTACCCAAAGTTTTGGGTTTGAAGGGGTTTTTCTGGGGGGGATTTTTGGCTGGCTTTTCCCCCCTGTCCTCCCCATCCCACTCAAGTGTAACTTCTACATACAGACTCTTGTAGCAGTCCTCTTTTGTCCCAGGACCATTCCATGTGCCACAGGAAGAAGTAGTGGCTGAAATATGTAAGCTAGACCTGCAGCTGTTTAGGAAGCCTCAACTAATTTGCACAGCTGTGCTAGCCCTTTTACTCATTCACAACCACTACCTAATTTAACCCTACTTACTCTAGCTTCACCTTACATTCACAGGGACAATCAGAGATCTCTTGGTGCTCAAGTCCTTACACTTCTTTATAGAAAAACAACACAGGAAAAAAAAAAGCCTTAAATCCTACTGCATTAAGTTGCCAAGCCTCAAAGTTTCTTCTTGCTTTTAAGTACTTCATAAGCCTTTTTCAGCTGCTAATGTTAGTTTTAAAAGTAATATTCTTCTGCCACTGTGCACAGGAGGTCTGGACAAAATTGGCATGATTACAACACAAACAGGATTATTTCCACTTACCATTAAATTCACTCATTCCTTAAAAACAGCATGACAATAGGAATTGTCAGCCCCTTCTTCAGCACAACTGACATTTACTTGAGTAACTTCTTTCAAAAACAGTATTTCTACTTTTTATTTTCTCTCTCCTCAAAACTAGCAGCATTATATATATCTGTGTAACTTACCCTGCCCACTAATTAATCTTTTATTATTGACTTTGGGGGCTTTTGGTTTTGTTTGGTTGGTTTTTAAGACCAGTCAGTTCACTAATTTGTTATCTACTAGATACTTCTTCCTGTCCTGGAGTATTGTGTGGTACTTAAAGAATGTATACATCTCATCAACTAGCACTTCTCAAACACCATTACTTTATCAGAACTGAGAGGATCCATTTTCCACACTGTCTGACATGCACCTTCATTTAATTCCTTGTTGTAAGAATTTCTACCTTAGTGTTTCTGGGATCTATTCATGGCGACAGGCCTACATCTACCTTTGCCATTCTCATCCGCGCAGCTTGTATTCTTCACTTGTAGCGTTGTTAAGAGCTAGCCTGCAGAAGCACAAGATCTACTTTGTCAATATCCATGCTGAGAAATCCAGCTTAGCAATACAGTAAGAGTCAAACCGAACCAAGTGTTTAAGATAGTCACATACAGCATTTAAGGTAGTAACATAAAATTATGTTAGCTCTGCGAGCTACTCTGTCACATACTATCTCTTCTGCCTTCAAACACCATTTTGGCCCGTTTAGTCAGCATCACAAGAAAGAAACAGCTTAACATATAATTCTTTGCAATTTTTTTGCCCTAGTTTAACAAGGTAAGTTTGAAGAACCAAAGTTTTAGACAAGATCGATACACCTGTTTGACCCAAAAAGTATTTTCATATTTTCACTGTCTTAACATCTTTTACAGTGCATTTCCTTAAGACAACATGAAGCACTAAGCAAAGTAAATTGGGAGTGAGCAAAGTCACTAACTGTGGTAATTCTGTTAAGTAGTGTAAGACAGAAGTTCTAAATATGATCTTAAGTGATCGCTGTACTGTAGCAAAATCCAGGACGTTTTATTCTGTAGCTATTTTTTCCTCCATTTGTCTTCAGTGTCTCTGCCTTACAGTGTACAAGCACCTACTACATTATTAAATATGTCCACTACACATAGGATGGAAACATTCTTTGCTAAATGGGAATAGCCAGGGACTAGGGAAAAAAAGGCAATGCTGCTTGGACTGGCAACAGTTTCAGCCCCAGGACATGAACTTTCCTCTCCTCACTTAAGGGAGAGATTTTTAGAACAGTGGAAGAATGCAGTAAGAATAAAGCTGATTTTTAAGTCACATCAGGTTTTACATTTTGACTGGAAATATTCTGTGCTGTAAGACCAAGCTAAGCTTGGGGCTGCTGAGCTCAGGCCAATAGAGCTCAAAAATGGTTCTGTTCCATGCGTATTCTGAAAACCATTATTTTCCCAGTACTTTTACTGTTTAAGTCTAGATGTCAGTGTAGCAAGAAGTTTTCAGAAGGACAGAAAACACCCTGCTGAGGCCACAGAAGATAAGTAAGTCCAACAGAGAGCTGGTTACCCAGCTGTGCATGCAAGCCAAGCAGCTGCTAACTGCAAGTAGTAGTTGGTTATTGCAATTCAGAGGTTGATACCAAGTCACTGAGCGGCTTACAACTTTCAGCAATCATCCTCACCATCAACTATGAAAAAACACTATGGTCAGGACCACCGTATGCCTGACAAATACTTCTTTACCTCTTCCAGCTGCAATTTTTGATTATGTATCTTATTAAGCAAGTTGTGATCCTACATTTTCAAATGCAGAATTATAAACACATAGGCCATATATTTGCTTTCCAAGATCCTCCTTCTCCTCATGTTCTCCATAAACCTAAAATTTGAAGGGCAAAATGGACACAACTACTAATGTGATCTGACAAAAAATTTTAGAAATAGGGACTGACTAAAAGATATGAAGAACAATAAGAACCTCCCACTGCAATTTGATAAAGCTCAATAGTTGAAACCTGAAGTCAAAAGATTGCTACAATAGCCACAGACATAGCCTCTCATAGTACAGCCAGAAGACAGTTGAAAAACAGAGCCATAAGGCTACATGCTTTGTATATCACACGGAACTCCTTTGGTCAAGTTACTTGTTTCAAATTGGATTAAGCCACTTTGATGCGTTTATTTTGCCCCACCTTGTGGTGAAAACCAGTTTACATACTGTGCTACAGCCATCTGATTAATCTCATAGTATTCTACTACCGTGGAAAGCAGAGATCAAAGACCAAGATGATCCTAAAAAGCACATTTGTTTACAAAAATAGAGTAACTGAGGACTCAATGAGCATAAAAAATATCACTTGACTACTTGTAGTGGATACTTATAACTTTATTCTAAGAAGATATAATTTTATAAGGAGAGGGCAAATCAATAGCTTGCCAAATTTCAGGATAGCATAATCACTTCACCTCATACTGCACTACCACCTAAGTCTACCTGTGATTCAGTACTAGTCCTTTATGACACTAATACCAAACCCTCAACAAGCTAGACAAAATCAGTTTGTGTCAAAAACTGAGTTTATGTAAGTCATTCACATTATGACTATCCTCAACCAGTCAAGGCCTTAAAATTGCCTTTCTTCCCACAACTCCCCGTAGTCATCTAGGCAGTTTTGCTTTACATTTATATTGTGCGAAGAACAGTTTACATCACCAACCCCAAGAAGCTACATCAACTTACCTTATTAGCAAGAAATTTATGAGGTAATTTAAGCAAGGTGGTAGCTAAAGTGTGTTTGGCAGCTTCTCAGCACACACACAGAGAAGTCCCTAGTATCATCACTGGCAGGTTTAAGTTCTACAGCACTGTCCAAATATTTAGATTAGTGCAATGCCTAAACAGGAACTGCTTATTTATTTTTAATATCTGGACAATCAAAGAGCAAGTTCTAAAGAAGCAAGACCCAAAATTAGTCTCCTCAACGAAGTTAGTAAGAATACCAAGATGCCCGTTATGAAAGACTGGAGAATAAATTTTTGTATTGTCACTAGGTTAAAAGGTAAAATATGACATATTAGTACATTTGCAGAATTTCACTAACAAGTGTGTTGTTAATTTCACCTCCTTTGATAAAGAAGTTGACTTACCTAGTACTGTTACAGTTGTTGATGATTGTGTATTTCCAAGTGGGAATGTAACTGCCTTGCAAATATATTCTCCTGCATCAGAAAAGCTTACATTTTTTAATATTATTGTGGCATCAGTGAGTGAGTAGTTTTTAAATGACACTCTTCCTTGGTATTCTCCTTGAACAGATATTCCGTATTCAGGATGATGAACAGCAATAGTCTGTGAACTTTTACCATGTATCTTCTCCCAAGAAACTTGTGTTATTGTTTCATTTACATCAATTATGCATTTCAGTGCAACCTTCTTCCCCCAAACTGCTGTCACATGTGGATCAACAACTGGTCCAGCTAAGGCACCTAAAAACAAAGCAATCGTTAGTTGGCACACAAGAAGATTATCTATAAAGTCTTCACATTAAGCCTTCTTCAGCAATTAGCTTGCCTTTTTCAAAAGATATTTCCTACTTTCTTCTGAATAACCGTATTCTAACTGATTCACAGAATCAGAAACATTACAAAAGCATGCTTTAAGCAGAAACATCAAAGCTAGGTGTGCATCAACCATTCTTTAGAAAACACTACCACTAATACTCAACTTTCTATAAAAATTACCTGACAATTGTGTAACTGGTGTATCAATCTTTTGGGAATTTAACTAGATATGAGCATTGCGTGTATTCAGATTTACTGAAAACATAGTAGTCAGACATGGTACTTCATTAGTAGTCTAATTACCATTCCAGACCATCAGGTAAAAATTTAAGTTAAATTACTGCACTTATTTCTACTTTCAAAAGGTAAGTCTCCTAATAAAGATAATTTAAGGAGAAATACGTAAGTGAAACTTCTACCACTTTCCATACCAGTAACTACTTAAGCAAAGCAACAGTTTAAAAAAACCAAGGCACACCAAAGAAAAAAACCGAAAACCCCACTAACTATTCCATCTTAACAGCGACAGTCAAAGGATTTGATTTTAGCTTTGGTGTCCTAGTTTCCAATAAAGGTATGTACCATCATACATACGCAATCTTTCTGCTACAGTGTAGTGTGGTGTCTTCACACGAAATCTTACCTCTGTATTAACACAGTGAATATGCAAGAATAGACATGGTCAGTGTTTGCTTAAGATTCAGTGTATTTCTGTTTAATACCCAAAATACTTTCTGCAGAAGCAACTGCATTCCGAGCTCAGCATTTACACCACCTCCTTTCAAGAAAGGAAACCCACCAGGACAAAGCAGTTCATTAAACCACAGGTTCACAATTTCTGTTGACCAACAGGTACTCTGCAACTTCAATCATTCATTCTCTTGGAGTAAACTAACAGGATGAAAAAGAATCAAAGTCTTAGTCCGCACTGCGTTTATTTTTACTGTGCTTAAGTTTTAGCAGAGCCATTTCAACTGCTCTGATTTTCTCTTCAGTTATCAAATCAGTACTCAAGCTGTTACTGAGAAAGTTACCCACACAACAAGATTCAAGTCTAAATTTTAGTAGCCCAATTGTCATAAGCATAAAGAGGTCATTCAACTTCAGACATTAACTGCCTTTTCAATCAAAAAGTTCCCACAAAAGAGAAATCGTGTTCAGAAAAAAAAAATCTCTATATGCCTTTAAGTATGAATCCATTGTTGAAAGCTTTCCATTTACCATCAATTGATTTTTCAGTGTTCAAACCATAACTAAGTCAATGAAGTCACCTACATAAGTGATTTAAAGATTCGGTTATGGATTTCTTCAGTATAAAACTAATTGCTAATGCCAAGAGTATGAAAACATTAAGTTGCACAAATAAATCAAATTAAGCCAGAACTTTACACCAAGATTGTTGATATGTCAGTCACTAAGCAAGGCTGATGAGGGGAAAAAAGTTAGAAAACTCAAAAAAATTAGTAAGTTTCATATGGAGAATATCCAATATGACTAATCCATGAGTAATGAAAGAACACTTTTAGTCCCCTCATGCCTCTTGAGCTAATACATATTGTTGAGACAGGAATTGGAAAGATAGCAACTGTATGAACACTAACTGAAACACACAGAATCCTGCCCCAACTTTGTCTCCACTTGCCATTGCTACATTTAAGCATAAGGTGAAGTGCTCCTTAGTAAGTATTTACCTATTGCTTTCTACCTTATATGTAAATAAGGCTCACAAATTACAATTCTGCAATGTATTTCAGAATGTACAGAACATGCATACACCTTTGTTCAGAAATCAGCAATTTGCAATATTTAAATCTACTGAATCTTAACCTGTACTGAACCTTACCATAATGACCAGCTGTATATAACTCCACCAAACTTAGTACAGAAAAGCCCCACACAGAAACTTACACAAGATCTGCTTCTGGGATGGTAACAAACTGAACTGGAAAGTCATCCCAGCTAGTGGAACACACAAGCTGTTTTTTTCTCTCTCTCTTTTTTTTTTTTTTACAACTCTACTTCCAATAATTAGCAGCTTTAGCTACATGAAGATGACCAGAGCACATTTAAAAAGTCAATACTTAACTAATAGTTATCCCTTTTTTGAAGATGTGAAAATAAAACATTCTTTCTATCAAGGAATACTTCTAACAGCTCATTTGTGCCATGAGAACATTGTGTTCTCACATAAACTGCATGAATATTTTCAGAAGTCAAGCTTGTTTATTGCTGCTACTTTCAAGATTTACAGACTGGACTGAGCGGACCTCATATATATATATACACACACACACACTTGCAGCATATAGAACATTTTTCAGTTACATCTTATTGTTCACTCACCTTCTCCAATAAAGGAAGTAGAGCCAATAGATCATTACACTGAGTTTTACACATTTATCTCATCTTCTGATATATGTTCAGACTTCAAAGACAAAAATCAACTGGTCTATGCTTATCATTCGACTTGAACTAATATGTTTTATATAACAGTATATATACTCCAAAGTGTTTAAACTTTTTTTAAAAGTTTAAAGCTCAAGTGAGAACAACCACATCTTTCATTTGCAATAGCATCTCTGCTTTAATCTTCAGCCAGTTATTATTTAACCAACTTCTTTTGGTTGCTGAGTAATCAAGCTAACAGTTCAAACTAGCAAGTTAATTACTGTGCTGATAATTCAGGGCTCTCCAGGACTCAGGACTCTAAGACAGGTATTTACTTTAACATCGATACTTCCACTCAAGAGTGTCCTTGTTTCGGCTGGAATCATAGAGTCGATTTTCTTCCTAGCAGCTGGCACAGTGCTGTGTTTTGGATTTAGGATGAGAAGAATGTTGATAACACCCTGATGTATTAGCTGTTGCTAAGTAGTGCTTGTGCTAGTCAAGGACTTCTCAGCTTCCCATGCTCTGCCCGGTGCACAAGAAGCTGGGAGGGGGCACAGCCAGGACAGCTGAGCCCCGCTGGTCAAAGGGCTATTCCAGACCACATAACATCATGCTCAGCATATGAACTGGGCGAAGAAGGAAAGGGGGAGACAAACATTCGGAGTGATGGCGTTTGTCTTCCCATGTCACCGTTGCATGTGATGGAGCTTGGCTTTCCTGTAGATGGCTGAACACCTGCCTGTCAGTGGGAAGTAGGGAATGAATCCCTTGTTTTACTCTGCTTGCACACATGGCTTTTGCTTTTCCTATTAAACTGTCTTTATCTCAACCCATGAGTTTTCTCACTTTTCCGATTCTCTTCCCCATCCCACCATGGGAAGCGAGCAAGTGGCTGGGTGGTGCTTGGTTACTGGTCGCGGTTAAACCACAACAGTCAATAACTTGCTCAAAGACTGTACTTGAATAATGACTAACAGCTACATGTCTACTCCAAAATAAAGCTTTAGCAGCTTACAATGCACAAGACTCTGAAGAACAAGGCACTTCAAGGCCACATTATTCATCTCCTTAACTGATCCAAGGTACTGATGCATAGGACACACTTACCATTTTAATAAAGCCTAGCTCTCCTCCTCTTGAAATCTAATACCGAAATCTGACCTTTGCTTGCACTTTCACAATGTTGAAGACCTTGCTTATCATTCTCAAAATCCCTGAAGGAAACAATTTGTATTCACTTACTAATCAAGACCTTATTTTGTCACTCCTTAAGGCAAAACCAGCCTTATGAAGGTTTCTTACATTTTTCTTTAGATTTGACAACTTTTGTGGATCTATTTTCACTTTTCTTTTTGCTCGCTTGGAAGACAGAAAAAATAGCTTGTGTCTTCCCTCTCATTTCCTCAGTCATGTGTGCTCTGACAGGTCACACATTCTGGCATGTCTTTGAAACACAGGATGAGGTTCTTGTATTAACCTGCTCAACTGAAGACGCTGTCAGATGACTTTTACTGGTGGCTTACAATAATTACTCAAGTATCATATTGTGATATGGCACTCAAACCCATTCATTTCAAAGCTTTGAACCTAACTGTATCATCCAGCCTGTACAAATGTTTTAGAAGTCCCTGTCTGTACCAGTCAGTCAGGCTTCCTCCTTTAATGAAACAGTTCATACTACTGTTCAGACTGCATGGGCAACAGGGAGGGGATTTACCTTGTTTTGATTAGCAAGAGCTTGCCCAGTACTGTTTCATATGCAGCCTGGTATTATTGCCATCTCTAGTACCTCCAGATGTCTCAGTTTTAACCAAGTCCTATGCATTAATGGATGTTTTGATTACACAGTACTCCAATGCATGCTGGTAATACGTCACACCCAAGTTTATCACAAAACCACCTTGTGTCTACAGGTCAAAGAAGTTAAGCATGTAGATCAACTAGGAGGAGTATCCACCTGACACACCTATTTTCCAATCTATTTGCAAACATGCTAATAAGACTCTAAACCTATTTCGCGGTTCGTTGCATGCAGACACTGACAGTCCACAGCTCAGCTTCCCTGCAAGTTTATCTAATTTTACCAACTTAGAGGACTTCTAAAAAAGCAGTCATTTACTTTGGCACTACACTTAATTATCAACTGCCCTACCTCAACTTAAAGTCTTAAGATAAAGTCATTTCAAAGCTGAAAAATGGATTATGTCATTTGGGAGTGCAGGAAGGGAAAGTTTAAGCTTCTCATTCTAATATTTTTGGTAAAACACCTTCCAGAGGAACCTGGTTTTGGCCCCTTCAGTTCTGACACCCTCTCCTCCCTCCCCAAAATGAGCTGCATCTTCATTTTCCCACCTATCCTCCACATCACCACACAGACCAGGTTTCAAGGCCAAAAGCTGCAAATGTATCTCAGTCCAAATTGTAGAAGTTACTGTTTTATTTCACATAACCATTAGATTTCATAATTTTAAAAAAATAAATGTTTTTTCAGATTTACATTGTGTTCACTAGCTCTCCAGTCTCAGACCATTACA